CCCCCCCCCCCAGGAAATAAACGCAATTCATTTTACGAAGGCATTGGGGAAAACATGCTTGCTCCTCGTTAACAGCTGGCAATTCAGAGACAATGTATAAAGTACAACTACCAACAACCAGGCAGCTCAGATCTGCTGGGTACTCACTTCTTATCTCAAAAGCATCTCCACAGACTTACAACACAGGCACTCTCACTAGAATGGATGCACAGGGACTAAGCCATTGCGAAGGCTGGGAAAAGGGTGCCAAGGAGCTTTCCACAAACTGCAGGTTTTCCCATACTGAATGATGCTGCCAAGCCCCAAGGGACCATGTGCTCTAAGGCCTCTCTACTAGTAGGGACTCATATGCATGGACTTTTTTTTTTAAAAACCCTTTCTTAAAAATGAGATGTCACTTACACAACATAAAAATTCATCAATTTAAAGTATACATTACTTTGTGTTTTTTTAGTATAGTTACCATGTTGTGTAGCCATCACCAATTTCAGAACATTTCCATCACCCCATAAATATTCCCCCATAACTATTATCATAAGCACTGATTTTACCCAAAGTTTCTCTACATATATCTCTGTTGCCCAAGCAGGTATTTAAGATGGTTGGTTGAGCAAATCTATAGAGTATCTACATCGTAAGAAAACAAGAAAGCTACATTGTCCAGAAGGATACTGAACTCAAACATTCAACATCCACCTTCACAAAACACATTAGTGTCCCCTAAATTCATCCAAGATGTTAAAAGAAGGGAAGACAATCTACTAGGATCAACCATAGCTGTCCATAGTTACAATTTCAAAATACAGGAAATGCATATGTGGGGAAATCTCATTTAGTATCAAGAATAGCTGATTAAAAGCAACAACAAACCAAAAACTTAATCATTAAGCAAATACTGCCCCATTTGGTAAAATAATTTCTAAACCAGTCCACTAGTTAAAATAATGTAGCTATACATACAACCTTACTTTTATCATTCTTCTGACCTAGAGATTCTCCTAATGAGAATAGTAATTTTTCGACAAAGGTATGGCAGGAAAACCTGCAGATGTGTGGTGCTATGGCTGTTGCAGGGATCTCATTACCCAAGTGAGCTCATGGCTTCTAAGACGCACAGGAAGGAGACCTCACCTTCAGGCATCAGGGTGTTGAAAGCGGGAGGAAGTAGGTCCACGAGGGTGTCTTGCTTTTGTGCACTTATCTGGGGTGTTATTTCCAGAGAAGGAGTTCCTTTATAGAGTGTGCCCAAGATGGATTTCTCTAAGATGCTCTCAGAGTTGTCCAGCTGCCCTCACCAATAAGTCACAGTCTTTGTAGGTTGATAGAAACCACCAGTCAAAGCAGATGCATATGGATTGTGGGGAAGCCTTCTTTAGTATCTAACATAGCTGGATTAAAACAAAAAAACTTAACCATTAAGCAAATCTTCACTTTAATCATTAATTTAGATTATAGCAAATATCAACTAGGTGCTAAGCTTGAGTCTACCCTCAGCATGGGCAATTAACACTTACGAACAGGGATTTTGTGGGTTTGACTGAAGGCCACAATGAGATCTTAATTTTGGTTCTGCAAGAAATTAGTTCTACTTGATAAATAGGTAAACAAGATCCAGAAATATTTATTGGTAATTTAACTCATTCTTGCTGAGGTTGCTAAGCAACACTTCCAGTGACTCCAACTGTACAACAAGTTGTAGTCTAGTAATATATTTACAATTTTATTGCAATTTGCAATAATGATTTAAATACATGTTCATTTCCTGGATTTTCTAAAAACACAATCAGATGCAATCAAGTGAAGTTCATCACTTTTATATAATGTATAAACTAACAAGTTTGCCTCAAAATAGTTATCTATGAAATACTTCTACATGATCCTTGTTTAAAGGTACCCAGGAAACAGTCTCCTAAATTACAATGACACTTGGTTAAATGAAGCTATAAAGTATTTATCCTGTCTACCTCCAAGAAATCACACAGTGGCCAGAAAACTCCAAGAAACCGTCACGGAACTAGAATTTCATTTTCCTTTAACACTCGGCATTAAGAATTTTGAGAAATAAAAAATCAACTGCAGGTGAAAGAATCCAAAAATGATTTAACGTCTTTGAGGCTCTCAAATAAGGATATAATTGTCATACAGCAAAAAGCCCAAAGTTAGCTAAATTTATAGATATATTTCGGAATGTAATTGCTCAAAAATTTCCCATTCTTAAATTTGTTTTTATAAAACTCTTCTAATATATAAGATGACCTTGTTCTGAATAAACCTGGATGAAAATTAGTCTTTGTGAAATAAAAAGACAAATTATCAAGCAATGTGGTTCGTGTATTGGAGGAGTACTAATACATGCACATTATCACTTTAGGGTGCTAACCACATATTTGGAGCTGTTCAACAGAGGAAATCCTGATATAACCATTTTCTAAAGGGGTCGGATTCCTCAGGTCTAGCACAAGTGCCTACTGAGAGGATTATTTCAAAGTTTCCCTTAAATCAAGATTATTCAAGAGGTTAAAAGAAAATACTAACACAATAATTATCCTTCAAGCTATGTTATGAATAATCCTTGGTTTAGAAAAAGCAAGGCTCAACCTCCAGGACTTCAGTTGTGGGAAGAAGGCATACAGGAAGGGAAACATTGCCCACAGGAAGACAACTTTTGCTTTTGGTGGATTCAATTGTGTTTGCCAAGACTACCTGCCATTATGATGAGTGGGACTCAATTTTAATGCAAATTTCTTCTGTATTATTGCAAAGAGCATTGCATGTCACATAATCTTAAATAATACAGGTATAAAAAACACAAAATTAATGTAATTGATGTATAACAAAGATTTTGACAGGTAAAAAAAGAAATGTTTAAACAAAGAGGCCTATATCTATCTGTATGCAGTGATGGGATCCATACAATAGCTAAGACCATATTCAGATTGGAACAAATTCTAGAAATTCATGCTGCAAGGGAGAATGAAAAATTGCTGGGCAGCTCAAAATTTTATAGCAAATGTTGAAATAAAAATAAAAATGTTCCTGTATCCTAACCCTAACCCCCAAAAGCAACAAATAGGCTCATCTTAAAAAAAAAAAAAAAAAATCAGAGCCAAGAGTAGTACTGGTGTCATCATCTGTGCTTCATGCTCCCTGCTCCTCAAACCTGCGAAGACAAGGGAATGACGTTTTCCCCATCATCACAGCTTCTGAATGCCCACAAACCTAGCAAGGAAGACAGCTGATTTCCACCTCTGATTTTTGGAGATATAAACATACACACACATACACACACACGAACAGGTAACAGAAAATAAAGAGATGGAAACACATACAATCAAACTGAGTTCCACCTACTACTGTCGATTTACAAGCCACCTCAACAGCCAGGCGTGATCACTCTGCACTTACCCCGCAAGGGATGGAAAGGCAGATTTTCAACGAATGAGCGTCAAGAGCCCAAAGACTCAGATATTAACACTCATCTAGGCACAGCGGTTGACTCGTTTCGCCTGTCAATTCCATGATGCTCAGTACACTCAGTGACAACGCAGAGACAGGGCGCTGAAACCAAGGCTCACATTACTCAAAACGTTATAGGCATTTCCCCGAAAAAAACGTGATCCGAGCAACTAGAGATTATAAAGCTCTAATTACGGGAAGTCTGTAGATTTCCACATCAAGACCGTACTGTTGATGGACCGCAACATCCAACTAATCAGTAATTCTCTAAGGTGGGCCCATCTCAGCACAACAATGGAGGGCCCGCAGGACAACTCCAGTAGGAAAGGGCCAGCGAGCCAAGCCAGGCCCCGTCGGGAAAAGTTACACAGTTAACGGGAATCTGCCTGTAGTCAAGAAAAAACTTCAAATGACTTCAACCAACAGCAGAGGATCGCACAAGGAAACCAATACACTTCCTGAAGCTGATGGTCCCCCCCGGCCAGGAACCGTTTCCCGGTGGGGGTTCCTTCTGTGACAACCGCTCCTCCGTTTAGTTCTTTCTGCTCCCAACAGACGCTCCCTGCTCTCGGTTCACCAGGCGGCTCTCACGGGCCGTTCGAGCCCCGAGGTTCTGAGTCGCCAGCGAGCCTGAGGAATATATATACCCGGCGATCCTCCTAAACGCGCCCGTGGCTCAGGAGCCCACGGGGACGGGCGCCGCTCGGGAGCTCATCGGGGAAAATGGAAACCAACATTTTGCTTAATCGGAGGGCCCGCCTCTTTTCAACCTAGCGCTAGGTAGTTGCTTCGCGTGCCTTCGAACGCCGGGACAGACAGACAGACACCTACACTTCAGACACGAGCAGACTCCCAGAAGAGGTTTTCCATCTCAACTGGACTCTTGTCGTGTCAGCATTTGGGGCGCTCCCTCTGATGCCACATTTGGGTTGTGCCTGAGGACACCCTCGGACCCCAGCATGCTCAGGGTCCCTGACTCCGGCTTAGGTCAGCTGTGTAAGGGGAAAATATACGGGCCTTAGGGGCGCAAAAGGGCCTGGACTTCACGCTAAGGGTCACTCATAGGTGGTTCCGGGGCTGGCCCCTCAGGAGCTCATCCTGGTGGTGTCTTGGACTTTATGAACCCCGCAAGTGCCTGGTGCTGCGGGTGACGACCTGAGGAACAGGTAGGCCTCGAAGGCCTGGCCTAAGATGTGTGCGCTCCGCACCCCGAGCGCCCGCCTTCTCCGCTCGCCGCCGGAGACCGAGTTTCCCGCCCCACAGCCCGACCAGAGGTTGGTGGCAGTTGGAGGCAGTTGGGACCGGCCCCAGCAGGTTGGAACCGGTCTAAGCCGGGCCGGAGGAGGAGGACGGGGGGGAGGGAGAGGCCGCCTCGCGCTCTCCCTGCGCGCGTGACTCACGCTGGCCGCTGACGTCAGGCGTGCGCGCGCGGCGGGGGGGGGCTCTACGTACGTGTAGTGCTGCGGTTTCTCGGGCTGTGCCTGCAGCACCTGAGCGGTAGCGGCCGGGGGCGCGGAGGAAGCTGCGGAGCCGCCGGGCCCGGGGCCCTTCGACATGGTCCTGTCTTCCTGCCTCTTCGCCGCTCCCCTTTTATTATTCAGTCTGCGCGGTCCGCGCCGAGGGCCCAGTGCGCCTGCGCCGCGCCACGAGAACGTGAAGACCCCCCGCATGGCAGCAAGGGCTGCTGGGAGTTGTGGTCCTCGGTTCGGATGGAATTTTACCGTCGGCTGAGGGTTGCTGCCAAAGGATCGGACCACAATACCCAGAGATCCTTGCAGACGGTGTCCCGGATGCTGAGGGCCCGCGACTGCTTTCGGGAATTGCAGTTCGGCCGCGTTTCTCCTTCTCAGCGCGGTTCCAGTTTCGTAGGGGTACTTTTCCTTGAAACTGGAGCCCCTGGAGTAGATGGGGCCCAGAGCTGGGGAGCCTTAACGACTTCTGTGAAACAGTTCCAAGTGTAACTTTACTGCCAACAGTGTAATAATGACCTCGCCTCCGGAGTTGGGTGTACTCTGGGCTCGGTTCAGATGCCGGCCCCAGCCGCGTTTAAGAGTCTAGTGTCCTCTGCTCGTGCGGCAGGCACCTGGCGTGCGCGAGCAGTATTCCTGCGGCGGGACGAGGGACGCGGCACGGAGGGAAGTCTGCCTGCTGGAAGTCTGCTGGAGAAAGCTTTGCTAACGAAGAGCTGCGCGACACCATCCCCTGTTCCCGCGTCTCTGCTGGGGTGCTCCACAAACCTTCAGCAACCCCGAAACTCCGCGATTTGGTTCTCTTTTCAACTCAACACCTGGCCTGACCGACTTGTTTCCAGTACATTAGGGACCAAGGACGAATTTAATCTCCGTCTAGAATAGTCTCAGGTACACTGGCAAGTTGCAGGGGTGTTGAGAAGCATTACACAGTGTCCAGAGGAAGGGCCTGGGTTTGAGTAGGAGCTGCAATTTATAACCCACTTCAGTTTCCTGCTCTGAATGTCAGCCTTTGTATTTGGGAAAATGCGTCTCCCCTCCCCACTTCCCACCAGTGGGGCTAAGTTTTTCACTTTGTGGCCTTTGTAAGATAAGCCAGTTCCCCCAGACCTAGGCATTTGATTCTGTGAGCTTTACAAAGTTCTTCATAAGTATCTTAACGCTTTTGTTAACTAATGATCATCTCATTAAACAAACGCATTCCGAATAACCTTAGGAGTGAGGGGGAGTGGGGTGAATGGAAAATTGTTAAAGTTTGAGAATGACAGATACTCACCCAGCTGGTGTGGCTCAGTGGTTGAGCACGCACCCATGAGCCAAGAGGTTCCGTTTGATTCCCATCAGGGCACATGCAGGGGTTTCGGGCTAGATCCCCAGTAGGGGGCATGCAGGAGGCAACTGATAAATGTTTTTCTCATGGATGTTTCTCTCTCTCCCTCTCTCTGTAAAATCAATAAAAACATACTTTAAAAAAAGTTAACATTGATTGCTCTTTCCTCATTAAAAAAAAAAAAAAAAGCAATGATATAAACTCATTTTTATCTAGTTCCCAGCAACCTAAAATCAGAAGCCAAGTTGTCAGCCTACAAAGTTCAGAAGTTGGTATTTTTTTTAAATAGATTTTTTAGAGAGAGAGGAAGGGAGAGAAAGAGAGAAACATCAATTTGTTGTTCCACTTATTTATATATTCATTGGTTGCTTCCTGTGCGTGCCCTGACCAGGGGTGAACCCACAACCTTTGCATATGGGGAGAACCCGCCAGGGCAAAACTGGTATTTCATAAACAGGCTGACTGTTTAACCACTAGGGGCGTTGGAAGATGAAAAATTACAAAAGGATTGTTGTAGTGTATTATTTTAATCCTATTATTAAATCCTAGTAATTGATTTATACATTCTCCCCAAAACACTCCAGTGTGATTGAATGAAGAAATATAGTTCAACCCTGGTCAGGTAGCTCACTTGGTTAGAGCATCCTTCTGATATGCCAAGGTTGTGGGCTCAATCCCCCGAGAGGGCACATACAAAAAGCAACCAATGAATGCATAAATAAGTGGAACAACAAATTGATGTTTCTTTCGCTCCCTTCCTCTCTCGCTCTAAAATCAATTAATAAAAAGTATTAAAATATATATCTATAGCCCAGCTGGCTTGGGTCAGCAGTAGAGCATTGACCTACGATCCAGGAGATTTTGGGTTGATTCTGGGTCAGGGCACATGCCTGGGTTTTGGACTTGATCCCCAGTAGGGGGCATGCAGGATGCAGCCAATCAATGACTCTCATCATTGATGTCCCTCCCTCCCTGCCTCCCTCCCTCCCTGCCTCCCTCTTTCTCTCCTCCCTTCCTCTCTCTGAAATCAGTAAAGGTATATTTAAAATATATATGCACATAAATAGGTATGTATATGTGTGTGTATATATGCATATATAGTTCATAGTGCTAGATTTTAAGTAAGTGTACATCATGAGCTTCAGAATAAGCGTGTACTAGTAGAATTGGGAGATAACGAAACTGCTTAATTTTCAAAACAGGAAACTGAAACTCAGAGAGGTTAAGTAACTTGCACAGAGTTACTCAGCAAGTCTGTGACAGAACAGGAACTAGAACAGTTGCCTACATCACATTTTGCATTGTTTTGATTGTATAAACACTTGCAGTTCTCCATTTCCTTTCTTGCACCAATTTAGGAAAAAGAAAAACTAATCTGTATGACTGCTGAGGAAGAGAGACACACTATTTCCACCAATTGTCCTTAAATAGATGAATGTAAATCCATACCTGGTTTCTCCTGGACCATGATAATTAGCAAAATTGGGAAAAAAACAACAGCTACTGTCTCTCCTCTAGGAGGCATGGCACAGACAGGGTTCTAGGCCTCCTATAAAAACCTTGGAACACGAAGGGGGTGTTTCAAGGAGCCCATTCCTTCTCCAGGCCATTTGAGCAGTGAAAAAAAGATGACAGTATATTTTTTTAGTTACATTCCAGGGTATTTGACAGTCCCCTGTAAGATCTAAGCAGTGCCCTGTTTCTTTGCTTTACACAGTCTCTCTGCATCTTGGTTTCTCTTTGCAGCATGGCATGAATGGAATAGAAAGCTTAATCTTCCCCCTACCCTAAAGTCTGAGCAGAAGGAAGAAATTAAAGTTGATTAAATTATCACACAAAAGCTTAAATATATGATCATTAAATACATATTTTGACTTAAAATCGAAAGGGCTAAAATGAGAGAAATTCGGTACCAGAGATTAGGCCAAAGATGTTTTTGCCATAGTTACTTTTTTCAAATTGTGCATTTTTTTTTTTTACTATTGATACTGAGAAGGGACTTTTGGTGTCACAAGTACATTTTTGAGGTATTTGTATTTATTTGTAATAATTCTTTGAGTTGAAATCTATATGTAACTGGTTTTGCTAAAATAAAAAGATTTTAATAACTTAAAATATTTAGTGAACCCAGCCAGAGTAAAGACTATAGAATGCCCACGGCTCTATTTCTCAATTTCTGAGCTTTGTCTGACTGGTCTTAACCTTAAGCCTGCTTTGGTATTTTATGTACCTGAATCTCTGGAGTACTGAATGTTGCAATCCATACAAGACATTTATTTAGATAAGGATAGGAATTAACATTTTTATACATTTGTCATATTTCTTCAGAAGTAATACTTCCAGGATATACCATTAAACACAGAAGCACATATTAATGTAGTTGTCTTTTCTTTACTCTTTATGGACATGCAAATGCTGTCAAAGGCCTATTCCCATTTTGGCCATATGTAGTAACTTCATTTAGTTGAATTACATAATTGAAAACTATGTTGCTTAGAGGTTACATATTGAACTCACAAATCATTTTGTGACAGCCTAAGAACATAAAAAGCTGTACTTATAAAATTATTTATTGACATTTGTTTCTTTGTAGCTATTATTTACCACCCCTGCCACCAAACAAAAGAACTGTTTTTTGGTTAAAATGTATATGAAAGATGAGTAAAATACTTGGCAATATAACATCATTTACTGAATTCTAATTCTCATTTACACTATGTACTTAACTATCAAAATGTTAAAATGAATTAAAACATTTACCTGGAACTCATTTGTATGAGTTCTTGAATAAAACTTGGGAAGAAAAAAACCCGGAACTACAAAAATGTTAATAAAAAGTAAATAATCACTGGGAATACATTTTATTTTACGCTGGAAAATACTTAACATAAATTTTTTTAAAGTAACCTCTTCCTGCATTGATTACATTACTTGAGGCAAATAAGGTTAGGCTTTTGCCCATCCGGACTCTTGAGTCCTGATGGGGACCAACGCAATTCATTTGCATTG